CCTGATCCTTAGGGTGATAGTTTCCCTTTTCTAGTCTTCCCTCTATCCACTTTCAAACCATTCCAAGCTAGCTCTGTCAGACTGCCCAGGTTCTCAGAAAAGCAGAGTTCTTCCTTGCCTCTGTTCCCTGTTCCCTCTGGGTTTCTTGCCCTTCAGTATCTTACTGAATCTGATGATAATCACTTTCTCACCTATTCTGCCAGCATTCCCAGAACTCTACCAGTTAGAAAATTCTTGCATTTGCTTTTTTTCATGATTATGTACATTCTGTTTCCCTTTTTTGGGGAGCAAGAATATTCACATCCATCCTTGTTTCCAGGGTGAAATTCTCAGTTTTATAATTCCTTGTTTTGCTTTTGCTCTGTGTTTCACTGTGCTTTTTATGTATCTTTCCTCCTAAGGCTTTTTGGTGGCTCCTTCAGCATCTCCATTTTTTTTTTGAGGTAAATTCACATAATAAAATTAAGCAGTTGAAAGTACACAAATGAGTAACATTTAGAACATTCTCAGTATCATTCAATCACTACTGCTATCAAGTTCCAGAGCATTTTCAGTCCCCACCCCCAAAATAAAGCCCTGTACCCGCTAAGCAGTCATTCGTCTCTCTCTCCTCCCCCAAGTCCCTGACAACTCCAAACTGCTTTCTGTCTCTATGGATTTACATATTCTGGGTATTTCACATAAGTGAAATCATATAATCTGAGACCATTTGTGTCTGACTTCTTAAGCTCGCATAGTATTTTCGAGGTTCCTCCATGCTGTAGCACGTGTCGGTGCTTCATTTCTTTCTATGGTTGAATACAGTTCCTTTGTACGTATGTATGAACCACAACTTGTTTACCCATTCATCCGTTGATGGACATCTGGACTGTTTCCACCGTACAGCTGTTGTGATTGGCGCCTCTGTGGACATTCATGTACATGTACTTGTTTGAGTCCCTCTTTTCAATTCCTCTGGGCAAACAGTATACATAGGGGTAGAATTGCTGGGTCACATGGTAATTCTATATTTAACCTTCTGAGGAACCACCAAACTGTTTTTCACAGCAGCTGCACCATTTTACATTCCACCAGCAGTGTATAAGGGTTCCAGTTTCTCCAGATCCTCACCAACACTTAGTTTCCACTTTTTAAAAGTAGCCATTCTAGTGGCCATAAGGTGATGTCTCATTGTGGTTTTGATTTGCATTTCCTTAATGATTAATGATATTGAACATCTTTTCATGTGCTTGCTGGCTATTGGTATAATTTCTTTGAAGAAATGTCTATTCAAGTTCTTTGCCCATTTTTACTTTGGGTTGGTTATTTCTGTAGAGTAGTAAGAGTTCTTTATATATTCTGAATACTAGACTCCGTTATATAATTGGCAAATATTTTCTCCCATTCTGTGTGCTGTCTTCTCATTTTCTTGATAATATCCTTTGATGCATGGAAGTTTTCAGTTTTGATGAAGCCTAATTTATCTGTTTTTCTTTTGTTCCGTGTGCTTTTTGTGTCATATCGAAGAATCTATTCTGAATCCAAAGTCATGAAGATTTACGCATGTTTTCTTCCAAGAGTTTTATATTTTCAGCTATTATATTCAGGTTGTT